TTTGTTTTAATTTTTATGTATTTTATTTTATATAAAAATATTTTTTTAAAACGAAAAACACAAAGCAAATATCAGAGTTAATCGAAAGACTTGCTTAATAGCACATCTTCATTGGTTTTTTGAAAGATCGAAGAGAGCTTTACGGCCACGGTTGCCACTTGAAAATTTTTTTCTGTACCAAAATTGGTTTAAAAAGGTACCATTTCTGTAAAAAAAGGTCCAAAATTTTTGTATTGTCTTTTTATAAGAAAATACAATTTATATAAAATGTACAAAAAGTATAAAACAATACAATATCCACAATAAATTTGGGTCGCCGAAAATGTCCATTTTTTGAAATGAGTACCAGAGTACCAAACGGAAAAAAAAGTACCAATTTTGGTACTAAAGTACCATAAGTGGCAACCGTGTTTACGGCTTGCAAGAGACACCTACTAGAATACGAAACATTTTTAAAGGGATCTTTCGAAAGATTATTGAGTGTAGTGAGCTGAAAGACCATTGCCAGAATTGCCATATAAGTATGTATATCATGACATATAGTAAAAGAATTATGAAGGCACACATATAACTTCTGAGAAAAGTCATTCAAGAGACCCTTAAGCTTTTAAACGATAATCTTTATTATTTGATAAAGCAGTTTGTCATACAGATAAAATCATGATTATTTTAATAAATATATTTTAGAAATTAGCTTCTATATACTTATCCAAATATTATTAAAAAAAAAGGATCTATACAAATTTATCTATTTATTCCTATTATTAATCGATCTACCGAACTCAATATGATTATCTGTTTTCAAATATTCATTTGTTTAAAATTTTCTATTAATTTTGAAAATATTTTATTTTATTTATTATATTTCAACTTACCATGTATGTTGCCAGTTTACTTTCTGAAGGAATACCATTTGTTGGGGGATAAAATATTGGATCCATGGCAGCCGTGTCTGTAACAAAATTAAAAAACAACTGTTAGCACATAATGGTAGATATAAACAAATTAACATTTACTATATGATACGTTAAATTATTAAAACACTTAATAATTAGTATTAATCTATGAACATAAAGAAACCAAACCATAAGTTCTAAATATATATCCAACATTCACCATATAGTGTTGGAGGTATGTGCACCATATAATATAATGACACCTTACTTCCCAGTTATTATTAACTTCACTTTTTCTGCACCAATATTCATCAATTTTACTCTTTGGAAGACATACATTACATTTTAATAAACTAACCCAATTCAGTTCTTTGATCTTGCCTATGTTTAATATCTGTTTTATCTATTTTAGATATGGTGTAAAGCAAATATTAACCAACGTCAATGTTGTGTGTACCACTTACAAGATGTATACCGATAAGATATTCAAATAAACACCAACGTTTTGATAAGACTTTTTATACAAAAATTTTTAATTTCTGACTTAAATAAAGCGCAAATAATCTTTAAACATTAACAAAATAAATGTAATAATATTTTAATTTTTTTTTATTAACAATTTGTTTTCATTTGACATATTTGGCAGAGAGTATTGTAATTTATTAAAATTTATTTGAAACTAACAAATACCTAAATAAAGTAAAAGAAATTCGACCATCTCTATTCAGTTGAAGGAAGTTGAAGGTTCTTATAGGACATATGAAATCAAATCAAATGAAATTGGGTATATAATAAGGCAGGTTTATTAATATTATGGTTCCGACAATAAACACGAGTAAAAGACCAAGGGATTGAGCTTTTGATAGTTTTTTTTTAATATGTGGTCCTTATCATTAGATGTGAAGTACATGATTTAAATATCCTCCATGGGGTATCTTACAGTATTGAATCCTTTTAAGGCAATGTTTATAACCTGATCGGTCAAAAATTGACGGTTGTTTATTTTCAAAATAGAAGTTTAAAAGGTTAAGTGGTGACCAATCATAGATGTTCCACATTTTTATTTTCAATTTTAATTCAGAAAAAACCTTTTAACTTTTTTCTTTTTAAAAAAAATACGGTTTTATTAAGACCCCAGGACAAATGTCACACTATACAGCCACTTTTTATATCTGCAGTCCTCCTACGACATTTACATTTGCATTCTTGTCGTGATATGTTTTGATATTGTTTTGACAGACCAATGAGTTCAAATGTACAAGTTTGTTAAAGTCACAAGTATATCAACATGACACAATAATATCAATTATGTATAAATAGTTGTTTATAAAAAAGTTATCGGCAAGCTTTGGAAGCTTGGGAACACCCACCATAAAGTCATTTAGTTATACGTGCTCGAATATTAACTTTCCGAAATATTACTGCAATTTTAGACTATTGTATATTGCGCTATAGAAAACAATGTTTGGCTATAATTTAATATAATCAAGCTAAATAATTGTATCGATTCTAATACTCCATAAAAAAGCTAAGACGTATAGTTCAAATAATTGATTTCACTGGGTGGAACTAGTTTTAAAATGGGCGAAGACCATGAGGAATAGCGTTTGAATAACTTTTCAAAGTAAATTTTATATCAATCTACAGCTTCAGTTCATTGCTCCCTCGCCATTTAATTTAATATTTAGGTGCCTAATATATATTATTATAATAAATGGGCTCTCAATCTAATTAAAAAGGATTTGACCTTTGTCGATTTCACTTTCATCTGCTAAAGATTTGGCACATCGATCGAAACAGTACTTTCCTATCCTTGTGGTGTGTTACGAGATACACCATTAGCTGCTAGTGTTTTGGGGCATCGAATCAAGAAAAGACTGCATGTAAATATAAAAAATGTGACAGATTTCAATTATTCAATAATTTGAGAAGCAGACAGGTCTTGAGTATTGACTTGTATTAGTATTTTGATTATGTATAAAATAAATGTAAATATTGATTCTTTAAAATTTGTAAAATAAAAACACAGTAAGTAAATATTAACGATAATTTGATTGCATTTACATTACTATATTAAGCCAAAATTTTAATTTTATTAGCAATATATTTCAATATTATTTACAAATGCAAGCAGGTTATCTTCTCGGAAAACCCCCTAAAAAAAAGAAAATAAAAACATAAAAAAAAAATAGTAAAAATAAAAACAAAATAAATAACAAAAACAAATGTTAAATTTAAAAATTAATAGTGTTTTATAAACAACAAATCTATGGGAGATTTGACGTTGTTCTCTTGTGAAAAACAATTAAAATAAAATAAATTCATATGATAAAATACGCATGTGAGCAAAATACTGAGATACATACTGTTTAATATACATGTAAATATATATATATAAACAGTAAATATTTATGTATCTACACAAAGTCAAATAAAAACATAACTCGAAAAAATAAACATAGCTAAAGAGCAATGTCTTCTCTCTTTGATATTGGCCTTGAAAATTTTATTGTATTTATATATTTTGTATATATACATATGTGTATCTGTATCTTTTTATATGTACATACCTTTATTTAGAACATTTTATTTTTATTATTAACTGAAATCAATTTAATTGTTTTTGCGTACTCACAAAAAAATTGTGCGAAACAAATTAAAAGCTGTTATCACCTTAAAGATAAATTTCTTTTTCATGACTAAAATTAATAGCGCAATTAAACAATAAATGAAAAAAATACAAATTCATAACTTTATACAAAACAAAAAAAAAAATTTAAATTAGAAAAAAAGTTAGACTTTATTTTATTTTATTATTTTAAGCTGTTTATTAATTTTTTTTTTTTGTATATAATTTAATGGGAAATTTTTAAAATGATTTATTTTGAGAATGATTGAAAAGGCATATGAGTAATATTTTCTTTGAAATATTATTTAATGCCCTGAAATAATAAACATTTATCACGAGTCTTAAGATACACGCGAAGATATATATACACCTATTTGTATGTATATTTTAAACAAATTTCTTTATAAATTCCTTAATGAATAATTGCTTAATACAGGGCTGTCCAAAGCACGGCCCTGGTAAAACTCCATTATTTTATTTTTATGGTATACCAAATAAATGATAAATTCAATTGATAAATGAATAAAACTAAATTTAACATTATAGCCGTGTTTTTATTTTTGAACTACTATGAAAACAACTATGAACGTATGTATTTGTTTTTGCGACCCCCCAATCTATACAGTGGTTTGTGTTGGCCCGTGGTCGCATCTGGTTAAGACAGCCCTTAATAAATTAAATTTAAATTCAAAAAATTTCTAGTTCTATGAAGGATCAAAAACCACAACATTTGTTGACTATCAAGACATTATGTTTCAAACGGAATATATAATAAACAGAGAACCGCAGTTGGTAATATTGCATTTTAGATCTCATATTTGGCAAAATCACACACAACTAGTATTATTTTTAAGGTATCCGAACAAACATATTTTGAAAATTTTCTTCATTAGCCCACTAGAGAAAAAGCTCAGTCGAAGAAAATTATATTAATAATGGAAACGATAACATATATTTAAATAGCAAATGGACTTTCTAAAAATCGAACTCCTAATCAAATAATGAAAATAAAAATATAAAAAACACTATTAAGTCCGCTATGATTTCTTTTTTCGAAAGAATTCATTTATTTTAGGATTTCTATTCATTAGATTTTTTCATTCTTAAATATCAGTGAAATTTTAGGAATGATTCTTGTACAAACATAAATATTTCCTACCGGGTAAAATATAGCTCCTCAGTAAAACAGAGCTAAGATGTCAATATATTATGTGTTGAATAACGACGACTTGCGTTACAAACTCAACATAGTTCTCACAACTATGGTAAGAAATGTGTTTTCAGTAAAACATAAATAAGATTGTAAATAGACTATGTGTTGGATCACCACGGCTTTCGTTACAATCTGGACAGGATGGATCCGTCTAATAAGATGATATGCTCAATTGGCTTTAAAGCAGATGAGAATCCTGCTCTGATGAGAACAATATGTATGTAGAACAATATGTAGATTTGATCTTAACGTTACATACTGATACAAATAACCAAATACAATATGAAAATATTATCAAATTTGTAAAGTCACAGCATATTTAGTGACTAGGTCATGTACCTATGTAGAGTGATAGATGAGAGTATACTAAAAAATATGTTAAGGGTTCGTGAGACAAAGAAGGCGCCAAGTGAGAGAATACAGAAAAATATATTGAAGGCACGAATTTTTATAGGAAAAATATATCATGAAAGTGTTTGGTTGACGAAGCGCAAAACTAACTAAAAACTATGGTTGTGAATAATGACAATCAGATTAGCTCTTAATTATATTGTCTACATAAAGATAGTGAAATAAGTAAAACTTCCAAAGAGAGTTTTTAAGTTATGAATAATAAATATTATTATTATATTATTATTATTATATTATTTTTATTACATTATTATTATTATACTATTATTATTATTATATTATCATAAAATAATAAAGGAAATTACGTTTTTGGTGAAAATTAGTAATCCAAAAATAAGAGTAATATGGAATGGAATATGGTATATGGTATATATGGTATATGGAATTTTTATTTAAGAAACATCAATATCGATAATCATCGATAATCTTTGTGGGGAATTTTTTCCAAATATTTATTTTATTCCTGTCATTTTGGATTATTATATCCAAAATAACAAGTAGTAGCTAGATACCTAAGTTTTTCTGTAAATAGTATTGAAATAGTATGTAGTATATTAAAAGTATAATAAGTAATTTAACTTTTGACTTACTTCGTGTTGGTTGATGATGGCATACTACAATCTCAAAAGTATCGTTATTTTCTCGACTAAATCTTATAAGTTTATATTTATGTGTGTTTATATTTTGTTTTCACTTGAATGTTTCAACAAAAATATATTTTTTTTTATATTTCGCTGATTCCTTTTATGTCGAAAGTTTTATTTGCAAATTACTGAAGTTTTGCACTAAATATAATTAAAAGAATAATATTTTTAGCGTGTCCTGTATCCATAAAAATATTTATTTTATATGCTTATTTTAATTTTTTTTATTTTGAAATTATTATGAGCGGAACACAAGCTGGAACTTTCTTTTTTTTTACTATAAATTATATTTGTCTTATTTATTTGCATACACAAGTTAGTTGAAGGAGTAATATTTATAGTTGAGAAATATTAAAATTATTTTATATTATATCACTCTTTAGTTCCTTCAAGTCGAAGAAATTCATTTGTTGAGAGAATTGTACACAACTAACAAACAAAATTTATGAGGTTTATAATTAAAACCTGATATTTTATTGAGTATAAAAGTGGATTTCTGCAAATCAGTTTTTTAATAGTATTATAACGGAATTGTTAAAGGTATTATTATAACAATATTATAATATTGTTTATTCATAAACAACAATTGCACTTACAGTGCTATTAACTATAACTAACGCAACCATTGCACTTGCTGTGCTATTATTTAAAACTAACACAAGACCTATAGCTACCGAAATAAGCATTGCATTTGTTTGGCTATTATTTAGAACTTTTGCATAAACCACAGCTATATAAATTAACTTCGGAATAGAAATAAACAGAGTACCAGCTTCCAATAGAGCAGAGCAATGCGAAAGAGAGAGTAGTTCTCGACTCAGTGACCTTCTCCTGTCCCAGATCAAGGCTGGGCAGTCACAGAGAAAGTGACTGGAAGTCTCTTCTGCTTCTAAGCAGAGTCTACAATCTATCTCATCGGATAGATCCATTTTGTTAAGATGATAACGCAGTTCATAGTCACTCGTTAAATATCCCACCAACAACCTCAACTCTGTTCTGCTGAAGAAGGATACCTTACCATAACTGTAGAGATGAATCAGCACTTCAGCCTGACGGTTACCTGAAATGTCGCGCCAGTAGCGACTTCTCTCGGCTGATAGTCATTTATTAATCAGAGACCTAGTTGTAGACCAAATTGAAGGGCAGATCGTGATCTCGCAAGACTGTCCGCAGACTCATTACTATTGATTCCTGTGTAAGCAGGCAGGATTCATTACAAATCATTATAAATTGTTAGTTTTCAGAACTTTAACATGGTATTGTATATATAAAACTTTTCTGTACATTTTAATATTTATTTAAGAAAGTAATTCATATATTGAAATCAAGAAGTAATTAAAAATACTATACTTCAAAGTTGCAGCCACCAATTTCATACATATTGTATAAATAAAACACAAAAAATGGTACAATATAAATAACATAACAATAGTGCAATATAAAAAAGTGCTAGCTTACTGCACTAAAAACAAGGAATGAAAAAAATCTATAGAAAACTTCTGTCTAAACGTTTATTTCTACATTCCTTCAGTGATTTTTTCATAATATTTTTAATACGGATATATGTATGTGTTATTGTAAATATATCAGCTGTTATAAAACTAGTTGATATAATGAACAATTTACAAAATTCTTGCAAATTTAATAATTTTTTGAACTATTTACTTTGTCATCAACACAAATGTGTCAATTGCGAAGTTAATTTTATTAAAAAACAAATTGTGACACTCAAAAACAAAAACAAATACGAATTTTAATGAACGCGCAAAATCTCATAGAAAACGAAAAGTTCGTAGAGTAAACAAAAAATAAATCAAAACCAAAAACGAAATCGAAAAACACATGATGTTGTTAAACAATCTTTCAGATTGTTTATTTTTTTAGTTCTGTTTTGTTTCAGAGATCGCGATTGCGATCGCGATCGCGGCACTACTATCCATGTTTACGTTTACAAATTATATTTATGTTATAATAGGTATGTGTATAGGTTTAAGTTTATTTAGATTTATTTTTATATCTATAGCACTACGTCGTACGTTACGTCACGGCGTGATGTGGCATTACTAATGGCCAAGTCATAAAAATTAACGATACACAACAAACTAATGTGCACAAGTATACATGCATTTCTGTATCTCTGCATTTGTGTACAATAAATAGTTTATAGCCAATACACCGAATACAAAACAAAACAAAACAAAAGAAAAATTATTTTCCAAACAAAAGTTCGATAACAGGAAAGAACGGATGCGGAACGCTTCACGAGTTCGCCGAAACAATAGGTTCCTGAGAAAGTATTTAGTTAAAATTTTAATTCTAGTTTTTTTCTTTCTTTTTTACACGTTCTATTTGCTTTATAAGGAAAACGAAAACATAAAAAGAAGTTCAAAATAATTTAAACCAACATCGAATATCAAACGATTTCCCAGTGGAAACACTGATCAAAAAGCAGCCAACATTCGTTGACGTTCACCGCTTGTTTACAACTGAGGTAAAAATAAAATATACTTAAGAACATTTTAACCATAAATATACAAATACTTAATCGCATCGAGTTGTAGACATAATGTATATATATACGCCTAACACCTATCCCCACTCAATCGGCAAATACATACTCATATCTAAACACATATTAAACAAATCCATAGCAGAATAAAAATGTATTTTGCGCAGAAGAGCGCGCACAATATATGTGAATCAAAAGACTATAAAAAAGTAGGCGTCTTATAAAATTTTAATATCATCGTTATGTAGATGTTATAAGTCATAGAGTCGTCATTAATATATTTTTTGTAAAGAAAAATTACATAATGTTATGCAAACCTTATGTCACACTTGGTTCTACAATCACACTTTCGTAATAAGTTACCTTAAAAACAAAAGGTAATTTAATTATACTATATCTAATATTTATTTTTTTATATCTTACTTGGGGTACTTCTTCCAATTCTTCAATAGCGAGATAATATTAATATCCAATTCTTTGTCGTGATTCTCTCTATCTACGAGTAGAACTTTAACTATGTATAATTACTATATAAAATGATGTATTGCACATACTGACAGCTCATTCAATAATATAAAATAATTCATTCAATTATTAATTGGAGTTCAATCTCAATAACGTGATGGACTTGATTTTGAGTAAATAATTTTTGAATATAGAATGTGTAATTAATTCGTTAAAAAAAAAAAATATTTATTCTGTGAAATTATTCAAATAATTTGTTATTCGACGTATTTTATCCATGGCAAGCTATGTTCTTTTACTATTTTTTACTATATTTAAGGGGTTGTTATACAGACAATCTTATATTTTCTGTTATCAGAAAAGACAAATTTTATGCTCTTTTTGGTCATGGCATATAATACAGACAGTGATATCTCAATCTGTTACTTGCACTACTGATTTCGTACTTTTTTTACTGTGCTCAATTTATTTTTATATATATATTTATATAGATATATTTATATATCAACAGAAAAATATACATATTTACTTCTAATAGACACAAACTATTAACATTTATTACATAGTAACACTGTTTTGACCAACATGACGAGGTATAGAACCAAATTCTAATCCAAATTTCTCTCTTTTTCTCATTATCAATTTTCTTAATTTATATTGAAAACAACAATTTGACATTAGATGTAACCATGACTGCCTGTATAACATGGCACATAGATTTCTTGAAAACAAAAACAAGGGGTATTCACTTTGTCTTGCAAAGTAATTACAAGGTGCATGAAATGTATAATTGCTAAACTAAATTGCAAGAGTGCGAGAACACTTTTCTTACAGAATTGCAATATCAAAATAAAACAACTGTTTTTGCAGCACACTACATTCACATGAGAAGCAACAGATGTCAAAACAGCTGTTTTTTTTTATTTCTTGTTTCGTTCTAAACATTTATATATGGGTTTATGTATAGCAAGATTGCAAGCAATTGCAAGAAAGTTTGTGCGTATATTTTGTTGTTGTTTATTGCAATCTATGCATTTCGTGTAGAAATGCATGATTTTTTGGAACAAACCACAAATGTTTACATCAATCATCAAAGAGTCAACTGATTTGTGTCCGTACTGTCTATCATATAAGAACATATCAAAGTACTTTTGTTCATATGCCTAAGAATACCTTTATCTAAAACGAACATAGTTTGTGCTTATGACACTATAAGTACAATTTTGAGAAACCCATTGTTTAAAAGACCCATTGCTCATTATCTCATCTATTATTTAAATACGTTGTTATAGAAGTGTGTTTTAGAGTTTGCATTCATTGATATTTTGTTAACCTGAATGAGCTGTTTAGATTGTCTCATCGGCTTATCACAAGCAATTTATTTTGGATGTTTCTAATTAATGATATTTTGTGGATATTTCGAAACAGGGACGGGTTCTTTTAAGAGTGTTATTTAACGCACAAATTTTTGCATTTTTTTTCTCATCAAATCCTTCATTTTTTGTATATCTTAAGTTTATTATGTTGTTCATCTTAAGTAGTTCAGATATAAAATTTTACAGTAGTGAAGAGGTTTTTTTTCGAACAGTAGTGAAATACAACAATAAAAATTTAATTATTTGTATTATTTTAATTAATTGAATTTTTGGCTGACCACATAGCTGTTTCGTGTATTGCCAAATACCCATCATCAGTGGTCTTGGAAATAAATCTTGTATTTAATTATTCGTAAATAATTATTTTTGAGACTGCAAGTACCAGGAATCGAACTCGGGTCCTGCCAAATGTGAAACTCAGAATCAGCGCACCTTAACCAACTGATCCAAAGCCGTACTTGACTTTTTTGTTCGCACATTTTTCTGGAGTTTTGTTACTATTACTATGAAAGTTGTTTTTAATTATATTAACAATTTTATTTGCTGTGTTTATATTAGAACGAAATCATAAACCAGCTGTAGAATAATTGAATTAATTAATTAATTATAATTTTATTTTCAATTGTTAAATTTCAATACTATTCTGTTCGTAGAGGCATTATATTTTGAAAAAGTTATCTCATAGTTGGAAATACTGACAGTAATTAATTACTCTTCATCCAAATTTCCTTAAACTGATTCATTCTATTCTATTCATTCATAGAGAAAAAGAAGTTTGGTTCTCTTAAACTTTTACTATCGAAATGGTTGTTTGATGGCAATGTGCAATATTGCACTCACTTTCACAAGTAAATTATTGCGTTTGTATTTCAAGTACAGATATTTTTAAAATTGAAAAATATATAAAGCTAGTGTGCACATGTTAAAGTTACAATACTATAACACACATTTCTCAAATACTACCAATGCACACATTTTCTCTACAATTTATAGAATATCAATGACCCTAAAGTGATTGTGATTAGCTTGTTTTGAGTTTGTTTTCATTTTTTTTTTTAAGTTTTTGAATTGCAGTGCAAAAAAAGATGTTCTTGATCAGTTTCCTCATTTTACTTTAATAATTTAATAACAAATAATTATTGATAAAAAAACAGTAACGTCAGACTAAAGTGAACTCAATTGAAATAAATCAATATAGGTTGTAATTGCATAATAAAATATTTTCTACAAACAATAGCGCTTAAATATAAAAAAAAAAACTATTTATAATAGTTAAGTAAATTTATATAGTTGTGGTTTATGCTTTATTTTTTAAAATAGCACAGTAAACGCAATTGTTGTTTCCAAATAAATCACATAAATGGATAAAAATGGACTTTTAATTAAAGTGTATTTTAAAGTTGTGGATTAACACGTAGGTTTTTCTCTATGAAAAGTAGTTATAGAATATAATGATTTGCTAGAACTGCTAATATGTTGATCCTTTAGAAAGAATAATATTTTCTAATTATAGGAACAATATTGATTGTAATCATCAACAGTGTAGTGTGTAGTATTCCACAATCGGTTAGTGACCAATTTACCTTAGTCGTAATTTATATACTTCAAAATAAACAACAGTCACAATGCTGGTTAAATTGACTTAAAAAATCATAAAAAGAATAAAGACTAAAATGTTTGCTGTGAACCTCTGTATATTTTTAATATTGAAAATTTCAACGTGAAAAACAGATTTTGGGAATATGCAGTTTAACAACTTTGCAGTTTTTTTTGCAAAAAAAAATTGTTTAACAAGAAAAGATACAAATATGATTTTAATGAGGAACTTTTTCTTTTTTTAAATAAATAATAAATCTTTATTATAATTCACCATAAAATGAAAATTATTAAATTAAAAAAATGTATTAATTAAATATATTGAAGATAAGACTATACTATAAGAGAATCTAATAATAGTAATGACAAATAATTGCATTAATAAATTGATGGAATTAAATAATTAACTTACATTAATTACGATATTAACATAAATTATATATGTATTAAATGACATTAAGTGATATATAACTCAATTTACTAAACCAATAACAATTAAGGGCATTATCATATGTCCTTATAAAAAATTAATTATTTGAAAACGAATAATATTGGGTCACTTTTATAGTATAGATAATTTTTTTTATTTTTGTGTAAATATTTAATTATTTTAAGTTTATTTTTTGTAAGTTACCAAAAAGTCTATTCCGTTAAAAGATTTGTTGGACTAAAAGAAGCTATTTCCATATTACAAATAAAAAGTGGGATTTAGCAACATTTCACGGTTAAAAGAGGTTCGATTATTGTTTTTGGTTTTACAATTTTTGAAAGTATATACTTAAATTTCTATAATTTCTTTTATTTCTTATGTGTTCGATTTACAGATTTGACAAAAAAAAATATTCAAACTGAAACTTATATACAGGTAAACATAGCTGCTAGGGATTCGGGTTCTGTAGAGAACCAGAATAGTCCAGAATAAAAACTGTAGTTAACGCAATTTGGAAAATCGTAACTAACGAAAATTCTTTGATATCTTCAAGGTCTCAGTTGTCTCTCTAAATTATACTTCATGATCATTTAAAATGATGGCTTCATGTTTATTGGAGTAATTATTGAATGCTGCCAGGTTTTAACACCCCAAATGAATTGATTTCGAAAGAACAAAGTTTCTATTATTTTTAAGCAAGTTACTGGGTTGCTGGGTTAGCAAAATATATTTTTTTCAACAGTGTTAAATCAACATACGAAACTATTGGTACTGTTGATTGGTTTCATGGCTATATATAACTATAAGATATTTTATAATATAATTTAATACTATAAGACTAAGATATTTTATTAGAGAACAATAAAATCTGAAATAGTTTATTACGCATAATACTTGTGTAATAGAAAGTAACCACAACTAAATATATCTAAATTTTTTAATGAAGCTTTTAATACTACAGTATTATTTATCAATAGGTGTTATAACTAAAGGATAACTTTACAAGTTGTGAGGCAAACAAGTATTAGTATATAAAATATAGAATTTATTTACTTTAAATACTATAGCATATAGAAATACATTTAAGATAAATAATAATAATTCTTTTTGAAACTTGTATATAACAAATAAATTTAATATAAATAATACCAGTTACTATGGTTAGTGAAAAACACTAGCGCTACTTAAAAGTCAAGGTAATGAACATATTTTACATGTTGTAGATTAGAGTTATGAGCTATAGTTAACAGATTAATTATTAATTACGTATTATAACTGCGAACATTATATCAAACTCTGTGTATTAACAAACAAATTTAATAGTAAAAATAGATATGAATTGCAAATCATAACTTTAAATTTCCATAGTTATATGAAAAAAATTATATGATTTGTGTAGTAATTATTTCAAAATTATAGCACAGATGTGCATACATATTTACATAAGCAATTAAAGCTGTCAATAATAATATTTACTGAGTAGATTTCGAATTGCTTGAAATGTGGTTAGGCAGTTAGTGAATATCAACGAGTTAATATTTGCAAAAGTTATTACTCAAATGAATGCCAAGTAATGTGATCTAACAGAAGACCTAAGGTGCAATATTTTGTACATAAAACATAGTATAGTCAAATAATAAATAATATTCATTACTTACGTATTTAAATTAATATAATGAATGTATAAGTGATTTAAAGTGTTCGATCATTATGATGTTCGAACAGTTTTAGTATGCTTGAATCGAACACTTTATAAGTACGAGGTTCTCAATGATGTTCGAGCTATTCGA